GCTTAGGCAGGAAACTTATACCATTTCAGACAAATGGTTATCCAACATCTTCTTAAAAACTTCCATTGTTGGAGCGCTCTCAACTTCTGAAGACAAATTGTTCCACTGACTAATTGTTCTAACTGTCAGGAAATTTCTCCTTAGTTCTAAGTTGCTTCTCTCCTTGATTAGTTTCCATCTGTTGCTTCTTGTCCTGCCCTCAGGTGCTTTGGAGAATAGCTTGACTGCCTCTTTTTCGTGGCAGCCCCTGAGATATTGGAACACTGTGTCACCCCTATGCCTTTGAGTGAAGTTGGATCCCTGATGGATGTCACTGTGTCGTTTTCCTGGTAACAATGTAGGATCTGTTTGTCCCCCTACCTTCTTCTGGAATGCACTGTAATGCCCTAGGCCAGGAGTCAGCAACCCATAGCTCTGAAGCCACATGTGGCTCTTTCATCCCTCTGCTGCGGCTCCCTGTCACCGGTCGGCTCCACAATTGATAGGACTTTCGGTTAGGACAGGCAGAGGAACAAGGATGCCGCACTCGGATGAGATTCTATGGTGGAGAAACCGGACTTCCGACCGGCTTCAGAACTGAACCGGGAGGCTTCCGATTAGGACCTTCATGGCTCTTTGAGTATTTAAGGTTGCCGACCCCTGCCCTAGCCTAGTCTACACTTCTGGGATGTCCATGCGGTTCAACAACCTCCACTCAGCTAGGTTCCAGGCCAGACAAGTCCAAACAGGTGTCGACACCTGTAGAGGCTCCAGCTCCACCAAACAGGAATGGCTGAAAAGGGAGTCAAACCATAAGGCGTCTTTGATAAGGAAGCTAACTTACCCGCAGAGTGCGGATCTCTCGGTCTTTATCCTCTCTGAGTTGATTGATCATCTCTACGTAGCGGCTGGAAAGTTCATCAGTGGTGGTCTGGCCCAGAGGATTGGTGGAAGCCTGAGCAAAGGAAAAATATTTTAGTTTCTGCAATTTTAAAAAAACCACTAACAGTTCTTTAAAGCAACCTCAACATAATGAGATATTTATTCTATGGATCTCTCTCTCTCTCTCGCTCTTTCCTTCCTTCCCATCTTTCTTTTCTTTCTTTCTTTTTCCTTTTTTCTTTCTCCTTCTTCCCTCTTTCCTTTCTTTCTCCTTTCCTTCCTTTTTCTTTCTTTCATTTATTTTCCTTTTCTTTTTCTTTCACTTTCTCTCCCCCTTTCTTTCTTTATGATTATTTGTTTATTTTTCCTTTCCTTCTCCCCCCCCTCTCTCTTTTTTCTTCCCATTCTTTCTCTTCCCTGCCTCAGTCCAGTTTACGTTAACTAACGATCCTTGTTCAAAATCTTTGCTAATATGTATTTTTTCCAGTGGGGATCCAAATTGATTGAATCACAGTTCAAATTAAATGCACTTGAATTGAGGCTCCTGTATTTTCTATTCCCAACTTGCTTTTTTCACAGTGCAACCTCTGATGTACAACATAAACCACAAACGAATGACTGACATATGTAATTTCCCATAACAATGCTGCTTCTGGATCCAAGCAAGACTTGGGAAGAAAAGAAAGCAGCCCTCAAGGAGATCATCTGGCACAGAGGTTGGTGTCCACTCACTGTCCCCACCACCCATCTTTTTTAATGCAGATTCAGGTGGTTTGGACTGGTTTGGGCAAAATGGATGCTAATTTTGCATCTGGTTCGCTAAACCGGTAGTTGGACGGACTGGCTGGCCCCGCCCGCCCACCCCACTCAGCCCCTCCCAGGAATCTCTAAGCGGCTTGTTCATCATGCCAGGTAAGTGCAGGGCCTGCGCAGACGCTCTGGCAGTGCGAAAAATGGGCCTCCTGGAAATGGGCCTATTTCTGGCCTCCATAGGGCCTCCGGAGCCCAGAGGAAGCCTTTTTCGCCCTCCCAGAGATTCGAGGAAAGCCTCCGGAGCCTGGGGAGGGTGAAAAACGGACCTCCTCCGCCATGGTGCAGAAGGCCGAGTAGACCACGCCCCCATGGCCATGCCCACTCAGCAACCAGGCAGAGAACTGGTTGCTAAAAAATTTTCAGTCCCACCCTTGGGGACAGTCCTCTCTTTTCAAGGGTAGCCCTTGGAATCCCAAGCATCAACTGACCAAAGGAAAGAGGAGAGTCGCCTTACCTGGAGTCTCAAGTTCTGGATTTCCTGCTCCAAGGCTCGCTTGCTGTATTCCAGGTCTTTCAGCCGGAATTCCCGCTCGCTGTCGTTGTGACGGAGGGAGAGCAGCTGTTCTTCCAGGGAACGGCACTTCAGAGTGTATTCGCGGAGGGCTTGCTACAAAAACCCACCCCAGCCAAAAAACAAACAGTCTTAGGTGACTTTGCCAGCTGGGAGAACCTACCATATTTTTCGGAGTATAAGATGCACCAAGATTATTTTGAAGAGACAAATTTTAAAAAAAGGTTTTTGCACTCTGCAGAGCTCCCAAAAACGGCCCGTTTTTCGCGAAAACAGGCCAGGTTTTTTTTTTCCTAAAAAAAGGGCATGCATAGCCTTTAGGAGGTTTGTAAAGTGCTCCTGAAGGGCGTGGTGGTGGGGAATTAAGGAAAAAAACAGCTTGTTTTTTGCTCATTTCTGCCCTCCCAGCCCCCAGAAGCATTCTGAAAGCCTCCTAAAAGCTATGCACGGCCATTTTGGTGAAAGTGTGGGGGAGGGCTCAGGAGGCAAAAAATGCTGTATTCAGTGTATAAGACACACCCAGATTTTCAGCCTCTTTTTTGAGGGAAAAAGGTGTGTCTTATACTGCGAAAAATACAGTAATTCCTTCAAGTTTAGCTTAATGTATTTGCATTTGTATATCTGTATTTTCCAGGGGTGGGCTTCAAAAATTTCAGCAATGGGTTCTGGTTGGAAGTTTCAGCTGGTTGGGAGTTTTACTCTTTTAAAATTAAGTGAAAACCGCAGGAGCTTTCAGAGTTGGTTTTCACTGGCTGTGCCGATATGATATATCCAAAAAACCTGTTCTTTGAGGAATCTACCTGCCTCGGAGTTCTGCTTTCAATCGGTGCGTTACTTGGAACGCTGACATGATGGTTACATCTGCACAACATTGTAGTATTCTACATTACAAGATTTATTTTCCTCCTCTTGTAACAGGAATAAGAAACATTTATCTAGCTTAAGCTAATCTGCTGATTCTCCGCTCCAGCTTCTTCTATTTTCAGGGATTTGCTCTTCTCCCCCAAGGTTCTTGACCTCTCAGAAGAACATTTTGGTGTTAGATCAACTGATAGGGTCAATACAAAAAAAAACGACCGATGGACAAGACAACCGCTTAAATCAGGAGCTAACATTGGGTACCCACGAAGTTTGCCCACTCACCTGCTGCTGACGATTATTCTCACGCACAGATGCCAACATCAACTCATATTCTTTTACTTGAGCTTCTTTGAAAGACAGATCTTTCTCAAGCAGCATCTTGTTCATTTCCTGTTTCTGTAAAAGTCCAAAGTCAAGCTGTTAAAAATATTCTCTTTGCTATTTACAAACTGATCTGTCTGTTTGCCTCAGTTTGCAAAAAAAAATTAAAAATATTCTATATGCTACATCTTTCCTTCCTTCCTTCCTTCCTTCCTTCCTTAATTCCCTCCTTTTTTCCTTCCTTCCTTTTTCCTCCAGTCTACCTTTCTTTCTTTCTTTCTTTCTTTCTTTCTTTCTTTCTTTCTTTCTTTCTTTCTTTCTTTTCTTCTTCTCTTCTGTCCTCTCCTCTTCTTTTCCTTTCCCTTTCTTTTCTTTTTTCCTTTCCTTTTTTCCTTTTCTTTCTTTCTTCTTTCTTTCTTTCTTTCTTCCTCCCTTCCTCCCCCTTCCTTCCTTCCTTCCTTCCTTCCTTCCTTCCTTCCTTCCTTCCTTCCTTCCTTCCTTCACATTTGTGATCCAGAAAAAAGTAATGCTTGGTTCTCCAAGGGCTGATTTTATGGCTGAACCATAAAATCAGTCATAAGATGTGCCCTTTTTCTTTTGCGACACACTGACACTGCCTTTGTACCTCTGAAGAGGGACAGAATTTCATGGATTTTCAAAAGCAAGTAGTTGAAAAACAAGCATGGGGGAAACAAACACAGAGGAAATGAACAAAGAGATCAATCGAAGTTTCCAATGCAACTACAAACAACGCAAAAGATCTCTAATTAAAAATGCCCCAAGTTCATAACCACTCATAATTACTAAGTCACCTATTATCCATGCTTTGGTCTCAAAAGATTCTGCCAATTGTCCCAAGAAAAAAGTGACTGCAAAGATTGCCTTACAATCTTTGAGAAATAGTGACTGACACAGCTTTGATTTCCACCATCCAAGAAAGGATCAGATATTTCTACCCCAAATTTGTAGGCATGTCACTCAAAATCAAGGCGACTCTCTCAAAAACAGGCACTGATGAGATGAGGATCTTGAAAATCTGATATTGCTTTATGAATCCTGGCTCTAGATCACAAGTGCCAGCTGGGTGCAGCTTTCCCTCTCCCGGCCTCTCCCAGATGTGTTTGAAATGTAAATTCCAACCAGCAGGTCCCAACACATCTGGAAGACACCCTTTCAGGGAAGGCTGAAGTTCAAACGCACTTCGACACATTCCAAGCAACAGGACTACGCACCTCTAAGTCATCCTGAAGGTGGACAAGCTCCTCTCGAAGATTGCTGAAGGTGGTAAGGACCAGCCGCATGGACTTATCAGCTGTGGCTCTCATCTAGGAAAGGTGGACAGCAAAACAGATTGTTTAGGATGGTTTCAGAGCAGGAAGGTTTCAATACAAAAATCAAACATAGTTTCAAGCACGCAACTAACTGGGGACTTGCAAGACAATTCAAATCCTCAGTCACTCCAATGTCCTGTTGGTGAGAATTGGCCAGGTGAACATCTGGGAGAAACAGCATTCATCAGTTTCCCATCATATGATTATCCTTAATCGTGTCCATTTTACCACAAGGAATAAGATAGATACAGATTAACAGAGTTGGGAAAGATCTTGTAGGTCATCTAGTCCAACCCCCCCCCCAACCCCGCCCAAGCAGGAGACCCTACTCCATTTCTGACAGATGGCAATCTCTTCTTGAAAGCCTCCAGGGATGAAGCTCCCACAATTTCTGAAGACAACTTCTGTTCCATGGGTTGATTGTTCTCACTGTCAGAAAATTTCTCCTGATTTCCAAGTTGAATCTTTCCTTGATCGGTTTCCATCCATTGTTCCTTGGCTTTAAAAAATAGCTTGACCCCCTCTTCTCTGTGGCAGCCCCTCAAATATTGGAAGACTGCTATCATGTCTCCCCTGGTCCTTCTTTTCACTAGACTAGCCATGCCCAGTTCCTGCAACCATTCTTTGTATGTTTTAGCCTCCAGTCCCTTAGTCATCTTGATTGCTCTTCTCTGCACTCTTTCCAGAGTCTCAACATCTTTTTTATAGTGTGGTGACAAAAACTGGGTGCAGATAGGTCTCCAAAACTGGAGATGAGATAGGTCACCTTTGAGCTCAGAACATATTTAGACCAATTTTGGATCTGACATGTCTCAAAAGTTCTTCTTAAGCTTCTTGGATGAGAAGAGAAACATCTTCAAAGAAAGACCAAGAAAGTCCAGTTGCCTCTTGAAAATGCATCTTTGGGACAGCCATGACCTGGATGACTGAGAATCTCCATAGACATTTGGATCTGACACTACTATTCCAATAGTTTGGGCCAAGTAGTGAGACATAGTTATTTGTTCCGACAGTTTGAGATTTTCATTGATCTTGGAAGTTTTGTGGCTTTTAATGCCTCTTATCATGAATATGGCTCTTTCTTATTGCATATTTTCTAATTATATCGCACAAGGGATGGTGAAGCGGTACTTTCCCAAGAAGAACGGAGCATCTTCTAAGAAGAAAGGTGAGACAAGAGGTAGCACAGCCGAGAAATGGATCGGAGGCAGAGAAAGGCAGTAAAAACAGCAATTCCCTAGACCCTCCCAGGGAATATCCAACTGCTGTGACAGTAGTAAAGGTTTACTCTGGCAAGATTCTGTCTGTTGTATGTAAGCAAATAAAGAACTGAACTCTGGCTGGATTCTTCTATGTCATTCTTGGGCTGACATATAGTTGTTTATTCATCAACATGGTATCTAGCATTAGAAAGGCTGAGCACCAAAGAATGGAGGCCTTTGAACTACGGTGCTGGAGAAGACTCCCTTGGACTGCAAGGTGATCCAACCAGTCAGTCCTAGAGGAGATCAACCCTGACTGCTCTTTAGCAGGCCAGATCCTGAAGATGAAACTCAAATACTTTGGCCCCCTAATGAGAAGGAAGGACCCCCTGGAGAAGAGTCTCATGCTGGGAACGATTGAGGGCAAAAGAAGAAGGGGACGACAGAGAATTAGGTGGCTGGATGGAGTCACTGAAGCAGTTGGCGTGAGCTTAAATGGACTCCAGAGGATGGTAGAGGACAAGAAGGCCTGGAGGAACATTGTCCATGGGGTTGCGATGGGTCAGACACAATTTTGCAACTAACAACAACAATCCATCATAGGAAGGACAGTAATTAAATATGCAAAATGCATCAATACTGTGTGTTATTGTGTAGCAGTCTGGACCAAGAATGGCTTCACCACATGAAATTAAACACAATTTCCATCAATTTCCACAAATTTCTCCATAACCCCATACCTCCAGAAGGTAACGGATCTGCTGTTTTGTTGACTCCGAAATCCCCTTAGGGATCAAGCTCTCAATATCCTGTGCCTATTGAAAAGAAAACAAGAAATAAAATGCCTGTTATCGAGGAGTGTTGTTACAGGTTGATTGAATATTAGGTTCAACCTCCCTTATGTATACCCTCTAATATATCAACTGCAAAAGGACCTTTGCAACAGGCAGGAAATAATTATCTTCTCAAATAATAAAAGCAGCTTTTTTTCTTTCCTACTTCCTTTTCCTATTGGCATCTTACAATTACATTGCTGTGTTGTTTGTATGTACACTGAGAGTTTATGCACCAGAAACAAATTCCTCGGGTGTCCAATCACACTTGGCCAATGACAAGTAGAGTAGAGTAGAGTAGTCTTCTCTCCTCTCCTCTAGTCTAGCTACTCAAGCAAAAAGATAATCTCTACCATATGTAAAGATCAGCGTGATTTCCATTCAGGCAGGTTAAGACCAGCCTTTTATTCTCATTTTGGGGATTTTAACCAGACTTAAAGACAGTGTGTTGTTGTTTGCTTATCAATGCACAAAGCCCAGATATTTCTATAAATTCTATAAACTGGCACTTACATCATTCAGAGATTCCAGATCGCACCTTCTGTAAGAGAAATACAAGGAAACATTAGTATTGTCCTTTCTCTATCTATCCACTGAGTACATTACAATTATCACTGCCATTGTGATGGTAAGTCTTTCATTCTGACTTAATTGAAGAAACTATATCCTAAGTTACCTTTAATAAAATTATGATTGCTTCTGGAATATAACATGTAAATATTTAGACACAATACGCCCATCCACAAATGAAGCTTGAAGTTTTCAAGAAGAGACCAAACTGCCATTTGTCAGAAATGGTGTAGGGTCTCCTGCTTGGGCGGGGGGGTTGGACTAGATGACCTACAAGGTCCCTTCCAAATCTGTTCATCTTTTTCAAATGGGTTAGAATACGCACGTTCCTGTAATGCAGTCCAACTGGTGGCATTCAGGATTGGAACAACGATGGCTCTTCTTTTTTATGGCTAAGCAAACGGTGCAAACCCAGGCAACTGCGTTTTGCCGAGAAAACTATGACCAAATGATGGCTTGGCACATCTCAGGGAATCAGTATATAGCAATTATAGATGGGTGGTCCTTGTTTAATGACCCATATTAAGGGACCATTCAAACTTGTAATGGTGCTAAACAGGTAGTATTTGCAACTAGTCCCTGAAGTTCCAGCTGGACACGTGATTGCATTCAGAGTGCTTAGCAGTGGTAATGCAGTGGTTAGAATGCAGTGTAGCAGGGTGACTCTGCCCGTTGCCAGCAGTTCGATTCTCACTGGCTCAAGGTTGACTCAGCTTTCCATCCTTCCAAGGTCAATAAAATGAGGAGCCAGATTGTTAGGGGCAATATGCTGACTCTGTAAACACTTAAAGAGGGCTGTGAAGCACTGTAAATCTGTATATAAGTCTAGGTGCTATTGCTACTTCCCTCCCTCCCTTCCTTCCTTGTGGTTAGAGTGCAGTGTTGCAGGCTAATTCTGCTCACTGCCANCATGGCAACTCCACTGTGCTCTACAGTAGAAGCCATTTTACGGCAGTACAGTAGAAGCCATTTTAAGGTGCAACAGGCTGTATCTTAACAGAACACACAGCCTAAAGGGTGTTAGGAGTGTCATCCCCACATTATGTTTCTCCAGAGAGTAAGTCATCTGTGTACCAAGTTGAAATTGCTCGAGGCATTCCAGAGTTATGCTGGAATATACATACACACACAGAGAGCCATATATATGATTAAAAGATGGCAGCATTTACATTTAGCGGAATACACTGGAACTCTACATCAATTCCTCCAAATCTATCACCAAAAATAAGAATACAAACGAATGAATGAGATGGATCAGTGAATGGACAATATGGTTCAATGCCAATAGCCTGTCAACCCTGAAGCTGATCGAAGCCACTTTGAGGCTTCAGTGTTTCTACATTGGAGCTGAGGGATAGGGAGGGGGGAAATAGAGATAGCTGGGGTTTTGTAAGCCAAAACAAAATATTTTCTCCTGGGAACCAAGGACATTCCCACAGGTGGTTGGGGAGAGGAAGAATAAAGTTACCAGGCAACCGGACAGTGCTTTGATTGGACCATGTGACTGATTGTTTGGAGAAGGGGAAAAACTTACTTTTAATTAGATGAAAACCATGGGAACATTCAGAGTCGGTTTTCACCAGCCTGTGCCAATATGACATACTAAATAAAACTATTCTTTGAGGAATCATCCTGCCTTGGAGTTCTGCTTGCTCTGGGTGTGTTACTTGAAACCCTGACACAGCCAGAATCCTAGTTGAACTCAAACTTATTTGACCATTGCTTACCCCAATACTCCCTCTAGTATCCCGCATGTAAAATTAGATATAGCAATAGCATTTAAGTTTATATATCATCCCATTGAACTTTGCAGCACTCTCTCTGGGCAGTTTACAATGTAAAGACATTATTTGCATAATGTCCCCTACAATCTGGGTCCTCGTTTTATCAACCACGGAAGGATGGAAAGCTGGGTCAAACTGGAGCCCATCAGAATCAAACTCCAGACTGTGGACAGAGTTTGCCCGCAATACTGCACTTTTAACTACTGTGCTACCGGGGCTCCCAGTGGGTGTAATTTAAGTTCACAAGAGTAGCATTCTATAGGAAAATGATTCAATTCGGCATCTGGTTTAAATTATGGGCAGTTCACAACCTGTGGCCACCACTCAGTCCCAAATTATCATTACTATCCAAGGCACCTGTGCCATCCACTTCTTTGATGCACTTGGGCAGAAGATAACCCATTCTTCTTGGGTTCCTCACCAAATGCCCATGCAACGGTCACAACCGACAAGGTACTTCAGTTGGTTGACAGTATTGAGAAAGAAACAACAAGCTTACGTTGAAAGAAGTGAAGGCACAGAAGACTTCTTAGTACAAACATTTCCTCATATCTGGTAGCATCACTAACTGGCTCTTTAGCCAGTAGAGGGATAACAGAATAATAGTTGGTTTTCTAGCCCAACCCTTTGCTCAAACAGGAGATCCTGTACCATTTCAGACAAGTGGCTGTCCACCCTCTCCTTAAAAGTCTCCAGAGATGGAGAAGCCACAACTTCTGAAGGCAAGTTGTTCCCCTGATTAATTGTCCTGGCTGTCAGGAAATTCATCCTTAGTTCTAGGTTGGTTCACTCCAGTGGTGGGTTTCAAAAAATTTTCGAACCTACTCTGTGGGTGTGGCCTCCTTTGTGGGAGTGGCTTGCNAAGGCAACTTCTGTTCCATTGGTTGATTGTTCTCACTGCCAGAAATTTTCTCCTGATTTCCAGGTTGAATCTCTCCTTGATTGGTTTCCATCCATTATTCCTTGTCTAGGCTTCTGGGGCTTTGGAAAATAGTGTGACCACCTCCTCTCTTTGGCAGCCCCTCAAATATTAGAAGACTGCTATCATGTCTCCCCTGGTCCTTCTTTTCACTTGACTAGCCATGCCCAGTTCCTGCAACCATTCATTATATGTTTTAGCCTCCAGTCCATTAGTCATCTTGATTGCTCTTCTCTGCACTCTTTCCAGAGTCTCAACATCTTTTTTATAGTGTGGTGACCAAAACTGGATGCAGATAGGTCTCCAAAACTGGAGATGATCTAGGTCACCTTTGAGCTCAGAACATATTTAGGCCAACTTTGGATCTGACATGTCCCAAAGGTTCTTCTTGAGTTTCTTGGATGAGAAGAGAAACATCTTCAAAGAAAAACCAAGAAAGTCCAGTTGTCTCTTGAAAAAGCATCTTTGGGACAGCCATGACCTGGATGACTGAAAATCTCCATAGACATTTGGATATGACCAATATTTCAAACCTGGTTCTTTGAAGTGAAGACTGCAAAGTTTTACAGATTAACAGAGTTGGAGGGGACATTGTAGGTCATCTACTCCAACCCCCTGTCCAAGCAGGAGACCGTATGCCATTTCTGACAAATGGCAGCCCAGTCTCTTCTTAAAAGCTTCCAGTGATAAATCTCCACAACTTTCAAAGGCAACTTCTGTTCAATGGGTAGATTGTTCTCACTGTCAGAAAATCCTTCCTTATTTTCAGGTTGAATCTCTTCTTGCTCGGGTTCCATCCTTTATTCCTTGTCTGGCCTTCAGGTGTCTTGGAAAATAGACTGACCCCCAACTCTCTGTGTCAGCCCCTCAAATATGGGAAGATTGCTCTCATGTCTCCCCTGGTCCTTTTCTTCACTAGACTAGCCATGCCCAGTTCCTGCAACCATTCATTGTAGGTTTTAGCCTCCAGTCCCCTGATTATCTTCATTGCTCTTCTCTGCACTTTTTCTAGAGTTTCAACATCATTTTTATAGGGTGGTGACCAAAACTGGATGCAGTATTCTAGGTGTTGTCTTACTAAGGCTTTATAGAGTGGCACTAGTACCTAAGTTGACCCCCACTCCCTGTGGCAGCCTTTGTCTACCCTGGTCCTTCTCTAGACTAGCCATGCCCAGTTCCTTCAACCGTTAATTGTAGTGGAGGTCTATTCCTGAACTACATCTCCCAGATCCTTCTCTCGTGATCACTGATGGCTGAGGCTCTTGGGAAATTGTAGTTCAGTCTTTGTAGATGGAGTTATTCTGCCTACACTGGGCAATCCTGGACAGCTAAGGATTCAGAACACTGTTTTATTCACCCTGATATACTGGATTCAATTCCCACGATCCCGTAAGGTTCATACCGGCTGGGGAATTATGGGAGCCAAAGTCCTACACAACTGGAGGGGATCAAGTTGGGGAATACGTAAGCAGGCAACAGGCTGCATAAATAGTCTAACAAGTCTGATACTGAATTGCTGGTACAGAGATTTTACCCTTTAGCAAATGCATGCATTAAGCAGACGCTTGAAAGCATTACCATATCTCCCTGGTGTAACAATTCTTGCAGCCTTTCATGGCTTACCGAGGGAAAGTGATGAAAATCTGTTGACATAACCAGAAAACGGGAACTGCATTCCCAAAGCAAATTATAAGACTTGTTAAGACAAAGTTGCAGATCATGTGCTATTTTTTTTTTCCTCTTTTAGGTGGAGTTGATTTCATCACTGAAAATGCTTGGCGCTTAGCTAGCTGATTAGATTTGACAGCACAACTGGACCTCATGGGATATTCTGACAAACAACAATAGTCTCAAGGCTACTGTTTTTTAGGAAGAATTAAATCCCATGGGGAGTCCTTCACTGGAAACAAGTCTATTGTTAACCGTTCCATGGAAAAACTTATACTCTACTAATGTACTAAAGTTAAAGGTTCCCCTTGCACATACAGTATGTGCTAGTCGTTCCCGATTCTAGGGGGCGGTGTTCATCTCCGTTTCTAAGCCGAAGAGCCAGCGCTGTCCGAAGATGCCTCCATGGTCATGTGGCCGGCATGACTCAACACCGAAGGCATACAGGACGCTGTTACCTTCCCACCAAAGGTGGTTCCTGTTTTTCTACTTGCATTTTTACATGCTTTTGAACTGCTAGGTTGGCAGAAGCTGGGACGAGTAACAGGAACTCACTCCATCATGCGGTGTTAGGGATTCGAACCGCTGAACTGCCAACCTTTCTGATCGACAAGCTCAGGGTGTTA